GGGAAGCACTTATTCCACTGAGCCATCTCCCCAGCCCCAACAATTTCTTGATGTATATAGCAAAATGTCATTCCTTAGTTCATTGTTAACAACTCTTTCAGGGTTTTACATATGTGGCCCCATCTGTACTTGAAAGTGTGAAAGAAAAGTTTTCCTTTGAACCAAAAATCCGATCACCACGAAGATTTATCGGCAGCCCACGAACACCTGTCAGGTATTTCAGGCTCTGTTACTCTTGATCTTTTTTTTTTTTTAAATCTAGAAAAAAACTGCTTAAGACATTTACGCTAAGTTACGCCAAAGATCTGTCATATTCTTTGTGGTTAATATAAACAGAACATCTATATTTCTTTATTACAAAGGACTAGTGTGTGACATGTTTTTAATATAAGTTATACAGTTTTCCTACCCTCCTAAAAGTAAGCTGTTGCACTGGCACATGCTGTCTTTACCCATTCACTGTACATTTGTTGTGCATTGGGGGCTCATTACATGCCACAAGTTACATGCTTATATACGCATAGTATACATGATGTAGACATTCTCCCACCTGATGAAGCTGTTAGTGGGAGAGAATCACAATAAAGATTTGAATACACAACACAAAATAGGTAAATACAAACAGTGTTCAGTGCTATACTGAAGAGAGAAAAGTTAGGTGTTGTAAAATATGCCTATATCCCACTTGTTTGGGAGGCTGAGGCCAGAAGATTGAAGCCAGCCTGAACAATCTGCTAAAATCTTAGGGCTGGGGAGATAGCTCAGTAGATTATTCAGCACAAGGTCCTGAGTTCAATCCCCAGCACTACAGAAAAAAAAAAAAAAAAATCTGCTAAAATCTTGTCTGAAAGAAAAGGAGGAGGGTAGACACTGGATGTAGCTCAGAGTTATAAGACCCTGGGTTCAATCCCCACTGGAGGGCGGGGGAGCGGAAGCAGAAAACAAAGAAAAATGAGGGAGCTTCTGCTTCCTTCCAGTCAGAGAATAAAGAGTAGCTATGCAAAAATAGAAGAAGTTCACAGATGGTGCAGCCTGAAGACCAGCAGAAGCCCATAGGGAGAAAAACCCTTGGCCTTTCCTTGACAGTGAAAGGGAGGTCAGTGTTCCAGGAGTGAGGTGAATTGAGGGGGAAAGGAGAGACGTTTGGAAAGGTATCTTCTTTTAT